GCCTGCTTTTCTTTAATCAATTAGCAGCCTCTGGTGGTCTTACTTTGAACCCAGGGTTCAACCCCACAACACCAACAGTGGGAAGGCCTCCTACCTCGGCACTCGGGGGGCGTGGCGCTCCAGGTCCCGGTGGCCAGGCACCGCAGCTCGCGTGCCCCGACCAGGAGGAAGCCTTCGGCACAGGTGAAGCTGCAGGTGGACTGGAACCCCAAGGTGCCAAAGGGGTGGACGCACTCCACCCGGGCCTGGTTTGGAGCCGGAAGATCCTGGCACCGCAGCGCTGAGGGTGAGGGAGGAAGGGGGTGAGGGAGGGAGGGAGTGAAACAGCAGTATACACATTCTCGTGCTCCCGCCCCTTAGCCACGTTCCTGCCAAGAACAGGAGCTCTGAATGGGCCGCACTTACCCTGGGGAGCGAGGAAGTGCCCTTTCCTTGCGAGGGGGCTGAGGAGGAGGCAGGGCCCTTGTGAACCGGCTGAGCAATACCTATCTGTATGTTTCAGGATCTCTTACCTTTGGGCTCAAGGGTCTATGCTAAGTGTGCAATCCACATGCCCATCGAGACCTCAGTTCATAGAGTGGTTTAGCATGGCCTTAGCTAAGAGGGCAACATACTGATAAAACAAAAAGATAAACGCCACCGATCAGAAGCTGAACATGAATGGTGGCCGAAACCAGTTTGGCTCAGTGGATAGAATGTCGGCCTGTGAACCAAAGGGTCCCGGGTTTTTTTCTGGTCAAGGGCATGTACCTTGGTTGTGGGCACATCCCCAGTTGGGGGTGTGCAGGAGGCAGCTGATCGATGTTTCTCTTTCATCGATGTTTTTAACTATCCCTCTCCCTCTCTGTAAAAAATCAATAAAATATATTTTAAAAAAGAAAGAAAGAAAGAAAGAAAGAAAGAAAGAAAGAAAGAAAGAAAGAAAGAAAGAAAGAAAGGAAGAAAGAAAGAAAGGAAGAAAGAGAAAGAAAGAAAGAAAATGAATGTGGTGGGTCCGGGGGAGGAACATGGAGGTCACCACAGAGGGTGTGTTTCCCCTGGAACAGAGACGGAGGTGCTAACAGAGTGATGTTCGGTGAAGAAGCAGAGTGTAAGTGGCATGCCCCCTGCTCCATGGTCTCAGTCACAGGACGCAGATGGTCAGACGGAGAGAACACGTGGACGCTACAGAGGCCGCATCTCACTGTGCAGCCGGGACAAGCACCTAACTACCCCGGGGCGTTAGACTAGTGAGCTCCCTGCACGACGCCTGGGTGTGACTAGTAGGAGCAGGCATAGCCGTGGCGGCAGCCGTAACGGGCAGCAGTCATGCCATCACGCTCTGCACCAGACGCAAACCGAACTGTCTGGGCAGAGACACTGGGAGCTCAGTGGCGGAGAGAATAAACACGCAGCTGTCTCTTCTGGATGTTTCCGCTTAGAGACAGGGGTACCTCCCGCAATCGCTGAAACAGGAGCGAGTCCAGGGCTCCCATGTCTTTGCCTGCAATGCACCCCATGACTCTCCTGCAACCCCATCACCGTACTCGGCCATCTCTCCCACCTCCCCACCCCATGGCCTCTTTTTCTTTCACTTTTCTCCTTGTGGTAAAATACACATAAAATAAAGTTGACCCTTTACCACGTCACCGTTTTTACATGTGCGGCTCAGCGGTACTGAGCACATTCCACAGACCGTAACCACCACCACCATCTCCTCAACGATTCTCGTCCCCGTGAACTGAAACTCCACACCCGTCACCTAGGAACTGTCCACGGCCCCTGGCCCCGCCCCTGGCAACAACCACTCCGCCTGTGTGCCCATGACGCTGACTGCCCTAGGACCTCGTACAGTGGACACACACATATCTGTCCTCCTGTGGCCGGCTTCTCTCTCAGCGCAGTGTCCTTGAGGCTTGTTCACGGTGTGGCATATGTCAGCATCTCCTCCTTTTGGAGGGTGGATAATATCCCATTGCGTGTTTATGCCACATTTTGTTATCTATTCCTCTGCTGGTGGGCACGTGGGTGGCTTCCACATTTTAACTATAATGAATAACGCGCTGTGGACATGGGTGTGCGAACCTCTTTTGAAGGCACTGATTTCAAACCACTGCCTGTTTCTAAGTCAGGCTCAGGGATTGACATAAATGGCCCCGAGCTCCCAGCACCCACCCTGGTAAAGCTCTCAGCAGCTTTAAGCTTGCTTCACCGACACTAACTCGGCCACTGCTGCAGCAGGCAGGCCAGGCAGAGAGCAGCACATGTGACTGAGGATGCTGAGCCTCGGAGAGACCAAAGCTGAGCCTCAGAGAGACCAAAGCTGAGCCTCGGAGAGACCAAAGCTGAGCCTCGGAGAGACCAAAGCTGAGCCTCAGAGAGACCAAAGCTGAGCCTCGGAGAGACCAAAGCTGAGCCTCGGAGAGACCAAAGCTGAGCCTCAGAGAGACCAAAGCTCATTGGCAGGAAATGACCAAACTAGACTGAACGCTTCATCCATTATTCTTCTGCCTCCCCATGCCCTACCTCAGGCACCACCCCTGCCTCCCAGCTCCGTCTCCTTCACCCTCACCCACCCACTCACACGTGTCCATCAACGCAGCCCGGCCTTTCTTACAATATGAGGTGATGACCAAGCCACGAGTCTGGATTTGCTCCCATTTCCTCCCTAGCGTCCAGCACAGCGGACTCGGCACCTAGTAGGTTCTTTGCGAATAAATGAATGACAGTGCAGTGCTAACAGCAGATGCTGAGCCTTGAAGAGGCTGAGGGACACAGAGGGAGGCTGCGATGTCTCCGTACCTTGACAAAGCGGGGCCGGCGCCGTCCACCGCCCCCCGTCGGCACACCGGACGGTGTCCGCTCCCTGCAGCTCGAAGCCCTCGGCGCAGCGGAAGTGGCAGGTGGCGTTGTAGGGCAGCGCCCCGGAGGACGGGGGGCAGTCCACGCTCCCGTGGGCCGGGCGCTCCGGGGGCTCGCACGCGATGGCTGGAGGGAGAGCGTCAGGTCTGAAGCTGCTCACGGAGGTTTTGCTCAGACGAGCCCTCTGGAGACGCCGCACCTTCCCCCCAGGTGGCCAGGATATTCAGCAGCTCAGGCCTCACTTCCCAGGGGGAACCTGCCCAGGACACCGGCCTGGCCTCCTTGCCTGGGCCGCTCACCTGCCCCTCAGGTCTCAGACGAGACTTCACTTCCCTTAGGAACCTCTCTGCCCCCACAGCCCCTGGTCCTGCTGTTCGCCCAGGACGGTAACCCTGCCCCTCGGAGCGCTGCCCCCGAGGCCGGAGTCTGTCCTTCCTCGTGTAGCTCAGAGCCAGGCAGTGTGGGTGCATCAAGGTGCCCTTGAAATACTTGCTGGCGTTACTTGTGGAAGAGGAAACAGAGCAGGCTGGACTTTCAGGGAAAGCTGGGGTGCACAGCTTACTGCTGACTCTATCATCCACCCCGTGAAGGAGTCTTGAGGGGGCGGTGCCTCCGGACACAGGAAGCCGTCCCATCAGACCTCAGCCGCCCAGTGCAGCCGCCGGGGCCCTGAGCGCAGTCAAGCCCGGAGGCCTCGAATCTGAGAGACGGGCTTCCTCATGCCCGTCCCCCCCCCCCCCCCCGCACCCCTCCCCAGGCGGTTTCGTCTCCAGCTGGGCCTGCGTGCCCGGGTCTTTCTCAGAGTCAAGACCACCCTCACCATGGGCTGAGATTTCCTCTTGGTTGTCACAGAACTGTCTCCCCAGGTGGCGGGTGTGCGGTAGGCAGAGCAGGGACTGGGGGCTTAGCTATGTGGAAAGAGCCAGACACCCTAACTTTCCCATTTTTATTTTATTTTAGAGAAGCAAATCAAAATGACCAGCTTAATAACACTCGCCCCCACGTCCTCCTTCTTATACTCTGTCCACTTTGCAGTTAACAACAGGAGACAGGGCCCTGGGTAGTGCTTTTTCCTGAGAACCCGGACTTAAGCTGAATATCTCACTGGACAGACACAAGCCAAGAAAACCATGGTCGACGGGTGACACCCCAACCAGCGCCCCACATCCACCGCAGGCCTCACTCTCTGCCAGACGCGCTCCTCCCCCTCCTCTGGAGGTTCCCGGAGTCCGTGAGGAAGGGAGCAATGGGGTCCACGCACCTACACACTGCGGGGGCTGATCCGTCCAGGTTCCCGAGGCCAAGCACATCAGCTCGCGGGGCCCGTCCAGTGCGTAGCCTTCGGCGCAGTGGAAGCTGCACCGGGAGCTGAAGGAGAAGCTGCCCAGGGGGTGGCTGCAGTCCATGAGCACACGAGGAGGGAGCTCCAGGCCTCCGCACGCCCTCACTGTGGGGACAAAAGTCCAGGTTTCCATCACAGGCTAATGGCGAGGCCAGGCTTGCAGAGAGCCGGAGCGGTCTGCACAGCCCTCTCCCCCAGTGCCCCGGCTCCTCACCCTGCCTGGTGCTCCTCGGTGTAGGGAATACTCACTCTACACTCTTGGCCTTTGTTTTGCTTCCCTTTTACCTTTTGAGATTTTATGACAAACTATAGGCTTGGTGCACAAATTGGTGCACCAATAGGGTCCCTCGGCCTGGCCTGTGGGATCAGGCTGAAACCAGCTTTCCGACATCTCCCAAGGGGTCCCAGGTTGTTAGAGGGCACAGGCCAGGCCGAGGGACCTGGTGCGCCATCGGGGCAGGGAGAGATGCGGAAGGTTGGCTAGCCAGGGAGGAACCGTGGGAGTGCTCTAGGGTGTGTCCAGCCCATCTAGCTCAGTCCCCATCAGCTGGACCACAGCAGCAAGCTAACCTACAGGTGGAAATATCTGCCCCTGTGGTCAGTGCACATCATAGCGAGTGGTTGAGCAGCCTCAGCATAGTATGCTTTGATTGGTTGAATGGCCAACTGGACAACTGAACACTTGGCATATTAGGCTTTTATTATATAGGATGTTCTCCCTATGGATACAGTGTTTTTGACCCAGAGTGTGTGTCTCAGGGAGCTTGAGTCAGGTGGAAGGACAGGTGGTAGAGAAAGCACAAGCCCAGGACCCCGATGTGGGTAAAACGGGGCCTCACCGTATTCACATTCTGGTCCGTAGAACCCAGGGTGGCAGGAGCAGGTGTAGTTCCCGATGGTTTCCACACACTCCCCCTGCTGGCTGCAGGACGCGTCCTGGCAGGAGGCTGCAGGGACAGAGGGGCAGAGTGTGGGGAAAAGCAGATCCTTGTTCCAGCCACAGCCTCTCGGGTGAGACTGTGCTGGCCACGCCACGGGCCCCGGGAGAGCAGCCCGTTTCCTGGGGAGGGAGCCCCATGGCTCCAGCACAGGCTGCACTTTGTGTGGACACGGTGACAAAGGGAGGGAACCACAGAGAGAAGGGTACACAGAAGCTCCTCCCTGTGCTACCGAGCAGCTTGTGGCTTCCCAGCCAGCGGCACTCAGAGTGCCGTGCTCATCCGGGACCTGTGACAGGTGTCCCGGCACGGAGGCTGGGAACCACGTGGAGTCACAAGTATGACCTCAGTCCTGGCTCTGCTGCCTACCAGTGACCTTCCTGTGACCTCAGGAAGGTCCTGCTCGGAGCCCAAGCTGCCCATCTCTTCCACCTTTGCCCATCTCAAATCTCTGCCCAGAACCATGTGGTGACAGAACTGAGGAGCCACGGGAGGCGTGCAGGCCTGCTCCCGGTAAAGGGCAGACAGACAGCTTTATGAGCAGCTGTTTCGCAGGTCTAACTGCCGGGAATGGGCGCTGCAGAGTGGCTGACCCGCTGGCCTCCTCACCGAGTCTGTGCCCGGGTGGCAGACGGAGAAGGGCCAGCGTGGCTTTCCTGCAGGAGGCTCTGTGAGGGGTGCGCCTGCGCGGTAGCCGGAGGGTTCCTGTTATAACTGATGCCACCGGGGGCTGAGAATGTTTTCATTCCTGTTTTATTATGAGGTCATAGCTGGGCAAGGTCTGTGGCCAGACTGCTTTCTGGTGGTGTTTCCTGTGCACTGAGCCCCGGCCCCACGTCGGTCCACTTTGGGCTCCACCACGAGAGGAAACCCATACATGGGTCACCTAGAGGGCTATGCGAGGTGATCTCTATGTTTCCGCTCGACTCTGAGATGCTCCGAGTCCCGGAGCCATGCAGGAGTTCCCATGACAACCAGAGAGCTCGGTGACGCTGCACGGAGGCACCGGCAAGGGTTCAAAGCAAAGAGAAGGCGCAGGAGGCAGCAGGAGCTGGTAGAGGAGGCGTGGTCCTCGCCCTGCCTCCTGCCCATCGGGGCCTCGCAGGAGCAATGCCTGCCACCCGGTGCTCAGCACACAGCTTTGCTCTGACTGTGGCTGCCCAGGCTCTCTGAGTGCTAGGGACGAGAAACCAGCACTGTTCCATATCTACTCCACTCCAGGGTTCCATCCAGATAGTAACTTGTCTGCTCCTTGGGCACTCCAGGAAAGACATGAACAACAATTCAATGACTCAATCTTTTTTTGCAAGCCTGTTCTGAGGTCTGACAAATCCTGACATTTATGGAATGCTTCAAAGGTAATTTATTGTTGCTGTATGCTTATCTGTTCCTCGTCCACCTCCTACAGGGAGCGGATGGTTCCCTACACCCTCTTCACTACAATGGCAAAATGCCCTCCCGTGGTAGTGGGATGGAAGTCAACTGCACTCGGGTGAAATGGTGCCAGTCAGGGATGTCCACCAGTGCTGCAGGGCACAGGGGTGGCAGCACTCGTGCCAGTAATTTGCGACCTCTTTCCAGTCCAGTAATTGTTTGCACCCTTTACTGGAGAAGACGGCCTTGCAGGATGCGTGCTGACGGTTGGGAGGGGAGTGGGAGCCGTGGCATATTGGAACATACAGCGGCAGTCGCGGGCGGGGACCTCTGGGGACAGTAAGCTCCCTGGCAGCAGGGACAGACTGGGGGAGCGGGTGCATGAGGACTATTCTGCAATGTCCGTCCTGGCCTTTGAAAAACAGGCTTGTTAACTAATGAATTTATTTAGTAACCATTAAACTATTTATAACATGGGGCCTGACTACAGAACAAAGCATTTATGGATACATTTTCCCTCAGCAAGGAGGCGTGGGTGAGGAGAGGGAAAAAGTGGAAGGAATATTCTAGACTGTGTATTCTGTTCCTATCGCTAAGGGCGTCTAGGAGGAGGTGTTTATAATCTAAAAAAATGAGGAACACTCAGCACAGTGTGGCATCTGTAAGACGGCTTATTACGGGAGTAGCTTCAGAATGCCCCCAGCTCTCCTGTTCCGGGCTGTGGGCCCCTTCGGTAGGCACTCCCTCCCATGTGCCCAGGTGCCAGGGCAGGAGGGCCCCTCCAGAGGGCAGCCATCCCAGAAAGATGGAGCCAGTCCTAGCACTGGGCACATAGTTTGGAGAAGACCAAGCTGTGGTGCATGTCTGCTTAGCCTGGAGGTAGGAGAGTGAGAACCATATATGCTCCCAGGATCTCACCATCCATCACCTCTTTCCTGGTCCCCACCCATCAAAGCCCGCCCGCCTGGAGACATGCTGTCACTGAGGGGAACCCATAAAGCGCCTGTCACCTGGGTCATGTTCTCGGATTGTCTCGAGAGAATGCAGAGCAGACAGTGGGCGCCTATGCGGCTAAAACAACTGCCCTGAAGTCAGCATGAGTTTCAAGCCGGCTCCGGCATCGGGGCTTAGAAGCTGGGGCAGGTCCTTGGGTTCATGGCTCCGGGCCTTTCATCAGCCAACGAGAGGGATGGGGGGGGGGGTGCATTGAAGAGTCTCGTGAGGACTAAATGCCATGGACAAGAAATGGCCTCATGGCACGTGAGTGAATAACCGTGCAGGAACGTACTGATGTCCAGCCGTGTCTCTAGGGGCAGGGCCGAGTTCCCTCTCTCTTACACTCTCTCTCCCACTGGGGCCCAGAGTGCAAAAGCTCCAGCCTGCGCTGCAGAGCCTACAGCTTCCTGGGAGCCTGGTCCAGCAGCCACACAACGAGAAGGGTGGGCCAGGTGAGAGTCAGACTCCCTTCTGGTTTCAGAAGTCCAGTTCTCTCTCACCCGGATCTCCGATTCTCCCAGGTGCTCGGTGCTGCTGCTTGATTGGCCGTCTACTCTGTTTCCTGTCCCTGACTCTGACTCCAGGGTACCGACCCAGTGGCTGCATCGGCATTTCTATGAAACAGACAGATTGGGAGCAGCGAAGACCTACCTGTGTAGCACAGCGGCCGCTTCCTCCGCAGGCACGGCTCGTCATTCCACCTGCCGGGCGCCGACGGGCTCTTGATGTAGATCTCCACGCAGTCCTGGTTGTTCTTCTTGTTGTTGGGCTCGTGCTCCGCCCAGTTCTCCGCCTCCGGGGTGAGCGTCTTGTTGGTCCCCACCCAGGTCCACCTGCCGTTGATCTTCCGGATCCCGATCCAGTAGTAGTGGCTGTAGTACGGGATGGCGTCGTTGAGGTACGCGATCTCCTCTCTGTTCTGGATGGCCACCAGGTCGGTGAAGTACTTCTGGCAGAACCTCCGGGAGGCGTCCCACGGGTAGGCCTTGGCGCCGATGTGATAGGTCCACGCGGCCACTCCTGTCTGGCTCATCAGCTCTGGGGAAGGAGGGGGAGGGCCGGTGAGTCGGTGTTTCTAGCCGGAGGGGCCTGAGCGCGAGCATGGTTCCCTGGAGCTGGAGGAGTTTCTGACCGGAGGACCAGTGCCCCGAACATGACCCTTTATGTCCAACCTGGTTGTTCTAGGGAAAGGGTGGGTTCCGTCTCTCACTTAAAAGTGAGCATGAAGCCGAAACCGGTTTGGCTCAGTGGATAGAGCGTTGGTCTGTGGACTGAGGGGTCCCAGGTTCGATTCCAGTCAAGGGCATGTACATTGGCTATAGGCACATCCCTGGTGGGGGGTGTGCAGGAGGCAGCTGGTCGATGTCTCTCTCTTAGATGTTTCTAGCTCTCTATCCCTCTCCCTTCCTCACTGTAAAAACTCAATAAAATATATTAAAAAAAAAAAAAAAAAAAGTGAGCATGAAGCCACAATAGGAAAATGCCCTCTTGGGGTCATAAGATACCAGAACCGGAAGGGACCTTAGAAGTCATCTAATCGCCTCCTTTTGTGAGGGGAGGGGGCATGGCAAGTCACTTGCCAGGTTTACATTAAATGACACCTGAAAGGTCTGGGTGGCGGCCTCGGATCTATAGGTCCCAGCTGTTCCCATGGGAACTAAGATGCGGCCTGCTGGTTCTGTCCTCACCCACCACAGTTACTTTCTTAGCCAAACAGAACGTCCACTGCCAGGCCTGGGCACAGCTCTTCCTGCTGCCCAGGCTGCCGTCCCCCGTGCCTGCTGCCCTCTCCCCCGGTTCCTGTGACCCCCAGGCAGGCGTGGCGTTTCTCCCTCCAGCCCCCCTGCCTCCACTCCGCCTCCACCTCCCTGTCGTAGTGTCTGTTTCTATGACCCGTCCACACCTGTGGAATGTGACTCCGGACGGGGTCTCTTTTGAGCTCTGGCTCCTTCACAGCAAGCGAAGAGCTTGGGCCTTCACAGGCTCCATAAGCTCTGGCCGTGACACCCACAGGCTGGGGCAGCGGCGGGTTAGACAGCAGCCGTGGCAGGCAGTTCTGCACTCATCCCACTGCTCCTGGCTGTTTCTCTTTGATAAATTACTTCCTCCATCTCTGCTTACTCACGTGTCAGTAAGTAAGGACCTCTGAAAGGGTTCTTGGTGATGTGAAATGAAATAAAGAATGTGCCCTTCAGCGTATGAGGGGCTGGCATGACGGTGCAGCAGCATCACAGCCAGCAGAGCCCGGCAAGCGGAGGCCGTGCCCGTGGGGAGAGGCGGACCCCCAGCAATCAGGCCTGGAAGCGGCTCCCTTTCCTGTTTATAAAGTCTTCTTCCTCCGCAGCCTCCGCCGCTGCCCGTGGGAGGCGCTGAGTGTCCCTTCCCTCTGACACCTTTGCTGATTGTTTTGCCATAAGACTTTGTTCTGCGATTGCCAGGGCTGTATTATGACTTCCACCGGCTCCAGGGAATTCTGCCTTTGTGAGTGCCTTCTTCCATAATGTTTACTAAAAACTGTCTGTTAGCATGGTGAGCATGGTCCTATGCACCAGGAGGTGACGGTTTGATTCCAGGTCAGGGCACAGGCCCGGGTTGCGGGCTCGATCCCTAATGGGGGGTGTGCAGGAGGCAGCTGGTCAATGGTTCTCTCTCATCATTGATGTTTCTATCTCTCTCTCTCTCCCTCTCCCTTTCTCTCTGAAATCAATTTAAATAAATTGATTTTTTAAACAAACAACTGCATTGGCATAAAGAAGAATCTATTAATATTGTATCCTATAAACTTTTTCTTTGACCCAGTAACAGAAGGAAACATTTTTTTTAAAGAAATTGTGTGTCTGTCAGAGTAGCGTGGGCCTGGGCCTGCTGTGCTGATGGAGGGGGAACTCGGTCCTTGTCCTGCAGTGGGTACATTTTTCCTTCCAGGAATCTGGGCTCAGACAGCTCCCCATCCTCACCCCAGCCGGCTCCCATCCCTAACTTCTCCCACTTGGAGACGTCACCCTAACCCCTCGGGGCCATGCGCAGGGTTCGCTGGAAGGTTACCAGAGAGCAGGGCACTGAGGCGGAGGAGCTGGGCGGCTCTGAAGACCAGGCCCTGAGACCTCCAGTTCCAGGTGGCGCTTGGGCAGCGAGCCTGCAACGAAAAGAGACAGCATCCTCTCAGGGCGGTGTGCACTCCCATGCAGAGCGGTGATGCTGGGCTGCCATCCTGCCCGTGTCCACTACGGGCGTGGCCGAGCCCTCTCCCCACTCCCTGTTCCTCACTGCTCTGCCTCTGAGTCCCACCCTGGCTGGACTCCATGCCGACGCCATGCCGTTTCTCCCTTCACTCGACGCAAATGTATCGAGCAACTGTTTCGTGCTATTTGCGTTGTTCTTTGATAATACGTTTTGTAAAGTGATTGTAGAGAAAACACTGTCACTATTGTTTTGCAATAATCTCCCTTTAGGAACTGGCATGCCGCACCCAGGGGGAATGGGAAGTCGCGTGAAAAGCGCCTGACCCACCCTGGTGTGCTAAGAATTTCAGCAATTAGCTTATGGGTGCCAGGAGGTGACAAAGGTGGAAGGTCTAGTCTCAGCTCCTGATATTACCCCTACATTGACACGCCCCCCCTCCCCCTGCGCCCCCCAACAGATTCTGCAGCAAAATGTCTTGTAGTCTCCTGGACGTGCAGTACGTTTTTTGCATCCTCACGCCCGGAGCAACCCCTCCTCCCGTGTGTGCCCCACTCTGCAAGTCCACCCACCACCTCCGAGGAGCTGCCCCCACCACGCCCTCCCTCCCACGCCAGGCAGCTCCCTGTCCCCTCCCGCGCTCTTTCCTACCGCGCTCAGTAACTGCTGATTTACTAAGTGTCAGCCTTTGTTCAAGGCACTGGTGTTAAGATGACAAAAACCGAAGTGATTCCCGTCCTTGTGGAATGTAGTGATGAAGGCTATTGAGGAAGACAGACAATAAAACAAACATCAGCAAGTATGCAGCAGTGCCAAATGAGGGAACAGGACGAGTAGGAGGCAGCTGTAAGGGGCAGGGAGGGAGTGAAGGTGGGGTCATGTGACAGAGTGCCCGGCGGTTACATTAGACGGGACGCGCAGCCAAGAGCACAGAGACACAGGAGGAAGCGCCGTGAAGACGAAGGAACTCGATGTGAAGGCTCTGGGAGGGTGTTAAGAGAGGAGAGTTCGGAGAACAACAAGTCCTCGGTGTGGCTGGCACGGGACGGGCAAGGGAGAGAAGGGTGTGAGATGAAGCTGGTGACGTGTCACCCTAGGAACCAAAACAGAGGGATGAGACTTTGTTCTGGTGCAATGAGAAGCTGGAGGTGGCGGGTCCGGGAGACGGGGCTTCAGAGAGGGAGTGGTGTAGTCTGATTGCTGCTGAAACAGGAAGGGGCCAGAGCTTGTGAGTCTGAAATGACAATCGCCAAAGGACTCCCATGGCCAGAGAAGCATCCTGAACAGCTGCATCAGGCCATGGTGTGGGGTGAATGGGGAGCAGGAGGGGGCGCTGTAAAGGCAGCAGGCCGCGGTGACAGTGACAGTGACAGGCCTGCTGGGCCAGGCCAGCGGGAGTGCTCACGGGAGCACAGGTGGCGGTCAGAGGAGGCAGGACTTGTCGGCAGTGTCCAGGTTCCCAGCCGATGGGATAGTAGCTCCCCAGGTTTCAGGGTGGTGGTGGTACACGGATGGTCGCAGCCCCACATAAAAAGTACAAAATGAAACAGTGGAAAAAAGAGGTCGCTAAGCTGAACAGAAAATCAGAACTAGAAACAGGAGGAAACCCAAGACATCAACACTAGGAATTAAAGCATATATTTCAATTAGACAACTGGTCGCCATTACTCAGTGTGAAATAGTGCCATTAAAAAGAAAGTAACATGTAATTTTTTTAAAAAGTCCGTTGGCTAATGAGTTATCTCACCACAAATATAAAGGGTTGTTTTGCATTTGATGTCATAAAATTTCCGTTTTGCCTTTCAGTCAGAGAAGTTAGACTCCTCAGAGTGCCAACTATGAAACTACCCTGTGCCTACCCTCTGGGCCAGGGTGGGGAACCTTTCTCTGCCAAGGGCCACGAGGACATTGATAACATCTCTCAAGGGCCACACAAAACTTAAACATTAGCCCGCTATTTTGGTCAAACATTTAATTACTCATCCCTAATGCCTAGGCTGGGCCAGACCCAATGATTTCCCGGACTTTATAAGGGAGTCCCTGAGCCAGCTGTTCCCCACCCTGCTCCAGGGTGAGGTCCGGGGTCTTCTCTCAGCGCCGACGGTTACACAGAAAGTCCTTGCGATCTCGGGAGGGATTGATAAGCTCCCGCTCACAGAACTCTGAAGCTGGACATGCTAACAGCCAGTGGCCAGCCCAGGAAAATATGAGCCATTTAGCTGCGTTTTGAAAAACAAGTAACGGAAGGAAGAGTAAGAACTAGATGCCACAGACCTAAGGTGGTTCGAGGTATAAATGGAAGAGAATCCAGCCCGGCTGGTGTGGCTCAGTGGTTGAGCATTGTCTTATGCACCGTGGTCGCCAGTTCGATTCCCTGTCAGGACACATGCCCCAGTTTTGGGCTCCATCCCCAATAGGGGATGGGCAGGAGGCAGCTGATGGATGTTTCTCTCTCAGTGGTGTTTCTATCTCTCCCTCTAAAAAACGAATATATTTTAATGTATTCTATATATTTTATATTTAACATATTTTAAAAATGTGTAAGTGAAAGAGAATCCAGGCCTGCTCCTTAGCCTCTAGAAACTTGGCTAACATTAGCACCATTTTCCTGTATGTTTCCGTCAAGAGCTCCACCTCCGAGCGCTACCTGCCTGAGAACGCCCCACTGCTAAGCCCTAACCTCTCTCCTCAGCTCCTAGGCGCTGGTTGAAGCCACTCTCTGAACTTGAGCCAAATTACACGCAGGGTTTGAGGTTCCTGAATCCCTGAAAGTCAAATGTGTTAAAGAGCGAAGGAAGAGAGAGGTCTGGCCTTTGTGACCTTAAAAACAATCCCAGGGCGTAGGGCCCTGCACTTCACTGCGGCCCCGTCTCGGTGGAGGACGCCACAGGAGTTTCTGAGCATAAAGCCCGGATGGCGATAGGGATGGGCTCTCCACCTGGGCCCCGCATGGAGGTTGGGGACCCCCCTGTGGTTTTCCAAGGAGCGTGGTGTTTCTTTGGATGTCTTCATTTATCTGAGAAGAGGACTTCTTTCCTCTGAATCCCAGAGAACGCCAAGCCCCGATAGATGAGCACCCCCCGGACACAGAGGAGGGTCCCCAAGGGAGCAGAAGGAAGAGAGGGATGACTGCTCAGTCATTCAAGTTGGCCAATTCAGGAAGCCTAGGACACGCCAAAGATAAGACAAGAGTGAGCCACGTGCTTATGCCATCCGGATTCAACCTCAGGCCAGGCTGAACCCCTTTCCTCTTCTCTTCATCGCTCTCTACCCCCTCCCAACACAGAGTCCTCGGCACACGAATCACCAAAGAGTCCTCATGACAGGAATTATCAAAGCGTCCTCATTACAGGAATTAGCAAAGCACGCTATGATTGTGCAGGGAGGTGGGTGAATCAGGTGCGAGGTGTCCCAGGGAAGAGGCTGTAGCCCTGGGCCTGGGGGAGGTACCCCTGGTGAGCTGGGGTAAAAGCCCCCTGTGTCTTATCTCAGCGGATGTTAGTGAATTAAGGCCTTTCTCCTGGGATCTTCCCTGGACCCAGGCCTCCCTAAACCCAGGCATTCTCTTTCTCCTAAGGACCATGGGGAACCTTTATTTATCAGCAGCCACGGGCCAGACTCAGCGCTTGCTTTCAGCGTCATCTCACTTCATCCCCATCCTGACCCGACAGAGAAGAATACTATTTAATCATTTCACAGATGAGGAAACTGAGTCCCCGGCAGGACTGAGACTTAGGGCAGCGATGGAGACCATGTGGACACTCCCCCCTCCCCCCGCTAGTCCCAGCAGACGCCTGGGGCTCAGAGACAGAAACTGGAGGCAGGGGATGGGAAACCCATCGGCCGTAGGCGAGCCCCAGGCACCTGCTCAGCCTTGCGTTCCACCCAGAGAGGAGAGCATCCCTGGAGAAGGGCCCCGGGGTGGAGAAGGGAGTCCCTGTGGGCCCTCCTGGATGCCAGAGGCCAGGAGCCCAGGGGCAGACAGCACCACACCTAACCATGCCCCTTCGGTGAAACCCCGGCTCAGCCCGGCATCGCGGCTGCACGGGACCCTGGGAATCACCTCCGCTCCTGAGGGCGCTGGGAGGGTGAGTCAGGCTTTGGCGGGCTTTGAACAGCTCACACACTCAGAGGGCCAGTCCACAGAGAGCCCAGTGGCTGCTGCTGTCCCTCATTTCCTAACCTGGCCCCTGTCCCGTCCAACCCAAACCCCTGCAGCGCGCCCCCCGCCCACAGGAGAGAGACGCGGACTTACCATCTCCTCTGTGCCCAGTCGGTTCTGCCGTCGTCGGCCCAGCCCGGGCGCCTCCCGTTCTTATAGTCTTGCTGCCTGCCCTCAGTGTCAGCTGTTTACAGCAGCAACTTCCTACTCCCTTGCCAGAATTCCACCGCAGCCCTTCCCAAGAAGGGAGAGCTGATAACCCAGGAGCAGGGCTGGCGGCTGCCAGAGCAGTGGCCGGGGGTGGGGGGTCCCCCCACTTCCACCGGGGATGCTCTGGAGACGGGCAGGTGTGACTCACCGCCGGGCATCCCCGCGGAGCATGCAGGGAGAGCACCTACGCCCAGGTCAGGTCCCCTGTGACGATGGCAGGAGCCCTACCGTAAGGTCACTTATTTGGAAAGCCAGCTCTGTCTTGACTGTAAAGGCTTAGTGTCCATTTTCCACTTCTTATGAGGCCTTGGTGCTGCCTCTCTGCCAACGGCCTTCGGGGGAGGGAGCGAGAACAGCACACAATGATGAAGGAGGGAGGGAGGGGAAAGGCCACGGAGGGCTTCCTGGCCACAGTGGGCCAAGGAGATTGTTGGAAACAGTTTTGTGTTTTTTTTAATAACTCATTATTGTTCAGATTATTACAAATGTGTACCTCTTTCCACCTCCCCCTCAATTGCTCCCCTCCACCAGGTTCCCACCCCACCCTCTGCCCTTTCCCCACCCCCCATTGTCTTCATCCATAGGTGCACAGTTTTTGTTCATTCTCTTCCCATATCCCCTACTCCCCTTTTCTCCTAGAATCGTCAGTCCACTCCCCTTCCATACCTCTGATTCTATTATATTCACCAGTTAATATTGTTCATCAGGTTTTTTAATTCCCTTGGGTTTTAGTTTCACTTGTTGATAGTTAACGTATTTGTTGTTCATAATTTTTATCTTTATTTTCTTCTTCTTCATAGAGAACCCCCTTCAGCAATTCATATAATTCTGGTTTGGTGGTGATGAACTCTTTTAGCTTTTTTTAATTTGTGAAGCTTTTTATCTGGCCTTCGATTCTAAGTGATAGCTTTGCTGGGTAGAGTGTTTTTGGCTGTAGGTTCTTGCTATTCATCACCTTGAATATTTCTTGCCATTCCCCTCTGGCCTGCATGGTTTCTGTTGAGAAATCAGCTGACAATTGTATGGGTGCTCCTTTATAGGTAACTACCTGCCTTTCTCTTGCTGCTTTTAATATTCTCTGTCTTTTGCTCTTGGAATTTCTATTATGATGTGTCTTGGTGTGGTCCTCCTTGGATTCCTTTTGTTTGGGGTTCTGCGAGCTTCCTGGACTTGTAAGTCTATTTCTTTCCCCAGGTGGGGGAAGTTTTCTGTCACTATTTCTTCCAGTATTCTTTCGGTATCTTGCTCTCTCTCTTCTTCTGAGACCCCCATAATTCTGATGTTGGTTTGCTTGAAATGGTCCCAGAGGTTTCTTACACTATCTTCAACTTTCTGGATTCTCTTATTTTCTTGATTCTGTGGAGGAGTATCCTCTGGCTCTTTGTGTTCTAAATCTTTGTCTTGATTCTTGTGATCTTCCAGTCTGTTTTTAGGACTCTGTGTAATATTTTTTTATTTCAGACAATGTTTTCTTTATTTCTAATTGATCCCTTTTTATTTCTAGTTGATCCCTTTTTATATCCTCATAGGTCTCATTTATTTTATTGGCCTTTTTAAGGAAATTCTTGAAAAACCTTTTAACTGTAATTTTGAACTCAATGTCCATTCTTTTCTTTTCCTCCATCTCCTTCCTTTGTGTCCTGCCTCTTCTCTGCATTTTAGTTGTTTCCCTGATTTGATGGAATAGTCTTGTGTGCTAGGTGTTCTGGTAGAGCCCAGTAGCATAGCCTACCAAGTTACCTGTGATGGACAGACTTGGTGTCCATCTTGGTGGGCTGTGTGTGCAGTCTTGTTGTTAAGCCTTGCTTATTGTTGGTATCACTGGAAAGCGTTGATCTCCAAGCCAATTGGCTGTGAGGATCAGCAATGTCTCAGCTAGGAGAGCTTCTGTACTCCGCTTGGATGGGGTGGAGTCTCAGGGTGTCATAGACAAGCTTTGGTTCCCTGTCAGTCTCACCTTAGGAAAGTCCTGTTCACAGTGAGTCTCTCAAGATTGGTTGCAGGCACACACCTCTTTGGTAAAGGCACAGACAAGCTTTGGATTCCAGTCAGTCCCTCCTTAGAGAAAGCCAGCCTCTGGGAGAGCTTCTGTGCTCAGCTTGGATGGGGCAGAGTCTCAGGGTGGTGCAGACAAGCTTTGTTTTCCCATCGGCCCCTCCCCAAGTTCCGCAGTAATGGCCACTGGCTTCACACACCTCCGAGAGATCTCTACCCACTGCCTGACAGTCTGGCCTCTCCCTGACTGGAACTGTCTATCAGAGCAATAGGGTAATTCTGTTTTCCTCCCAAACAAGAAAGCCAGCCATGTGTTAGCTGTCCGCTCTCTCCGCGCACAAGGAATAAAACCAGCACCTTTTTGCACGCACAGTTCTCTGCACCTTCACAGTTTCTGAGGTTTGGCGTGCCTTCTCTCTCCTTCCCAGATGGCAGAACCTCCTCTCAGCCAGCTGTTTAGTGCTTCAGGGTGATGCCTCCCCTGTTTTCCAGTTCTAAATTCAAATTTGTTGTGGTAGGCAGCATTTGGGTGTCTACCCCATGCCACCATCTTGGTTTCTCCCTGGAAACAGTTTTGAAATGAAATCTGAAACAGACATAGGGCCCTGGCCAGTTTGGCTCAGTGGGTAGAGTGTCAGCCTGCGGACTGAAGGGTCCCGGTTCTATTCCGGTCAGGGGCATGTACCTGGTTGCAGGGTCCTCCCCGGCCCAGGACCTGGTTGGGGCCTGTGCAGGAGCAACCAGTGGATGTGTCTCTCTCACATGGATGTTTCTGTCTGTCTTTCCCTCTCTTTTCCACTCTCTCAAAAATCAATGGGAAAATATCCTCTGGTAAGTATTTAAAAACAACAACACAGACATGGGTCATTATTAGGAAGGAACTTCTGCTTCTTTTATCAGAAAAAGATGTAAACATGGGAGGGTTGGCACATGGGAATGGAGGGAGTGTAGTGCAGCATGAGACAGGCACTGTGACCACACTGCCCAGGCTGAGTGTACCTCCTCCCTGCCCAGTGTGCCTCCTCCCTGGCCAAGTGCCTCCTCCCTGCCCAGTGTGCCTCCTCCCTGGCTGAGTGTGCCTCCTCCTCTGAGTGTGCCTCCTCCCTGGCTGAGTGTGCCTCCTCCTGGCTGAGTGTGCCTCCTCCCTGGCTGAGTGTGCCTCCCCCCTGGCTGAATGTGCCTCCTCCTCTGAGTGTGCCTCCTCCCTGGCTGAATGTGCCTCCTCCCTGGCTGAGTGTGGCTCTCCGTTAGACAAGTGACTGAGAAGCTCGGGGCCTCTGCTGACGGGACTGGGAGACAGACTTGCCCTGAGGGCCGCGGGGTGGGGATGAGTCCATCCAGGTAGCAGCTACTGCCGCCGGAGCCCCAGGTGAAACCACCAAGGGCACTCAGCCTGCCTCACGTCATTGCCACTTTTCACACTTGCTGTCAGGCAACACAAGCAAATATCAAACATTTCCAGTCAAACCAGAAAACCATCCCTGCGGCTTCTCTCGGAATACTGGCTCGCAGAGTGGGACTGCCTCCACTCCCCCACGAGCATCCCAGCTCGTCTGTGGGCATCTCTCGGCCGGACTGAACCTGGAGGGAGACAGGAAGGTCTGGAGGGGGGCCTGGGACCAAGAGGCCTCAAGGAGCTGGGAGCTGCATTAGGACGTGGGGGCTGAGAGGAAGGGATTTCATGGCAGAAACGCAAAGTCTGGTGAAGGAGGTGGTGATGAAAAGAGAGAGGGCTCCCTCTCCTCCCCTCCCTTCCCCACCCAGGAGCCAGACAGCTGGGCTCCACCAGCCCCCAGCAGTGTGACCTGGGCCAGTTACCCCTGTGACTCAGTTCCCTGAGTGTACTCATAGACAAGGAAACCAGTCACCCACAGTCCCCGAGCACAGTGCTGGGACATCTCACTGGGCTTGCAGGTCAAGTGCCCAGAACATCCTGGCTGGCGGAGGGCGCCGAGGGCGAGACCCGGCTTCCCTGTGCTTGTGCTCCTCTCGCCTCCCCTTCCTCTGCTCTCGCTCTCAGCCCAGCCCTTTCCCGGGCCTCTTCTCTCTCCGAGCTTCTCAGCAGGGTGTAAGGGCAGGGGCAAGGCAGGCTGCAGGTTCTAAAGCTGGACTCAGTGTGTTTGAAGCTGGATATCAAACGTTAAGCGTTCTCAGGAAGCAGGAAAAGATCCCAGGGATAGGAGGGGGCGGGAAATACCGTTTCAAAGCTGTTCAGGCTGAACACCGTTTTCTCATCTGGCTGTCGTCCCCTGTCCCAGGTAGATCCCCGGAAAGGACCTGAGTGTTATCCAAGGCGGCCCTCGAGATGAACTTTAACCGGGCAGGTGTTGGGTCATTCAAGCAGTTGCTAGCGAAGACGCTGCTCTACTCAAGCAGGACCAAGGGGCAGGACTAGGACTGAAAAGATGAGGAACTGTCATTTCAGTTTTAAGTGTATACAAAATAATTCAATTCCATTAACTGCTGGAGGGATGACACCACATGACACACATGCCGTTGCGGATCACACGGCACTTTATTACTCACACAATTCCTGATGCTGCGGGGACAGGCTTAACGGGATCCCGTGGTGCTGTCCTCTGGGGTCCGGCAGCTCAGCTGGGCTGGTTCGGTCCGGATGCAGGGGGCCGGCGTCCCTCACCTGAGAGCTTGGTCGCGTCTCGATCGGGAGGTACTAGCCATTCTTCTGTTGTCTGGCAGGGAGAGGAGTGTGGATTGGCGTTGCCTGCCAGACTGACAAAAGGACGTGCCTTTGTGACAGTCTCGACAGGCGAGCTCTGTTGGCTGGTCAGGACCCATTTTTAAAGCCTGTTTTGTACCCGCAGCAGTTCAGGTGGCTATCAATGAATTGCGTCAATGCACACATGTTAACCTCACACAGGGCGAGGGGCTGCACGTGGTTATCGAGCGGGAGTACATTCCTCACACATATGGTTGTCTTAGCAAGTCACTCTGAGTCAATAACTGAAGGTCAAATCCTTATCTGTGGGGTACATGCGTCTCATGTCCTTAAGATTACATTTTAAGTTTCAAGA